CGGGGGCGGGGCGGGGCGGCGTCTGTCGGTCGGTCCGCCGCGCCGCGCGGCCGCCGTGGTCGCGGAGGCCGGAGGGTCCGGGCGCGGGTGCCCCGGCCTGCACGGCGGTGCGCGCTTGCAGCCGTCGCAGGGAAGGGGCGGCTGGCGGCCGCGGCCCCCTCCGCCCCGGGCACGGCCCCGGCTCCGGGCACGAGTGAGCAGGCCCGGAGGGCTGGGGGCCTCCGCGCTGCGGCCCCGGCGCACGGCCGGTCGCTCTGCTCGCCCTCACGCGTCCGACGAGGGCTTCGGGGCGCACGTCATCACTCAGAAGCTGCGAGGCGCGGGAGTCGGGGCTACGGCAGCCAGGGGTCCCGCCAAGCCGCTGTCAGTCGGAGGAGTAAGGACCTCGGGAAGTTTGCAGCCCTTCCCCCCATAAATCCAAGGGAAACGCTAGCAGAAATGTCTTCAACTTTTTCAGAGCTCTGGAAATTAACCAAAGGATTGCAGCATCCCAGCGGTGTTTAAGAAAAGCAACCCAATCTCGGTAAAACAGTGAGTCCTTGGAGGTGTTTTAATTTTTCCTGGTTAAAGCTGCTGGCCAGCCCACATTCCTGGTACTGAAGGGAGCAGAACCCCTTCCGTGCAAATAATCGCCTTATTTAACTTGTCTGCGAGCCCTCCTCGGAAGACCCTCCTGCAAACCTCGCTCCGCTTGCCTCGGACCGGTGAGTAGCCTATGCCCGGAGGCTGTTTGCTGAGGGCAGTTACAGGCAGGCTTGTGATTTCAAAGCTGCCGCAAGCGGTGGGTAACAGCTGCAACCGCTAATAGAGTAACCAGAAAGCGTAAAAGGAACGGTTGGCGAATACAACCTCCACAGGGATGTTGAAAAGCCGTACTTATTTGTGGGATATAAAAGGTCACAGACATAAATAGGGTATGCACACGCTCATGAAAGACCTGAAAAAGCCTTAAGTGGTTGCCTCTGGCTGACCTTGAGGCCCTGTGCACAGTGAAGGGAATCCCCAGAGTTGCTGACCGCCTGGCTGAGCGCTGGAAGGCATGTGCCTCAGCAGGCGCACAGAGCCGTTTGGAAAAGACTGGGAAGCTTACTGATCGCAGGCATTTAAAGAAGTCTCTGTCCGATCATTAGCTGACTATTGAGCTGACCAAAGAGAGACTTCAGTGGCTACACAGGACAAATACTACAGACTAGAATTCAGAAAAATCACTACACAAAAACAGCTACTACAAGCAACAACAATACTTGGAACCTGATTTCCAGCATCACCACATTGTATTAAAATGTCTAGTTTGGGCGCCTGGGTGGCTGAGTCGGTCAAGCGTCTGCCTTCAGCTCAGGTCATGATCTCAGGGTCCTGGGATCGAGTCCTGCATTGGGCTCCTTGCTCAGCGGGGAGCCTGCTTCTCCCTCTGCCTGCCACTCCCCCTGCTTGTGCGCTGACAAAATATTTTTTAAAAAATTTTAAAGTCTAGTTTTTTGTTTGTTTTTAAAGATTTTATTTGTCAGAGAGCACAAGCAGGGGGAGCAGCAGAGGGAGAGGGAGAAGCAGACTCCACGCTGAGCAGGGAGCCTGACTTGGGACACAATCCCAGGACCCTGGGATCATGATCTGAGCTGAAGGCAGACACTTAACCAACTGAGCCACCCAGGTGTCCCTAAAATGTCTAGTTTTCAACAACAAACAAAAAATTATAAGACACTGTAGAGAGCAAGATGGGGTCACTCACTCAAGCAGGAGCCTGTGTCAAGCAGTGACACAAGCAGGTAAAGGTACCACAGCCACGAGATCCTGCCACGTCCAGCATCAGCTCACCTCCCAGCACTGATAACCAGCAGAAGCAGAGGACGTCTGCAGGGCCCAAGACCCGTTAGATCTCTTTAAAAGGGGAGGATTTTTGCAGCAAACTATCAGTCTCTTCGGACCTGATGCCTCTAGACAGACAGACCGCCTCAGTCTGACCACTTCAGAAAAGCAATTGCTGCCCAAGGCTCTGCCCGGTTGATCTCCCAACAGGACTGACATGCTTCCCTGCTTGAACATAAGGAGCAGTAAGTGCCGAGAGCTGACCCGGACCTGAGACCTCATCTCAGCCGCCGCCCACAGACCGACTTCGTGTTTGGTTCGCGAACTCCCTACCCCCTTGTAATCTTCGTTCTGTGCCGTATTAAGAAGCCAAGTTAATCACATGGTGAAATATCACTGAGTCTGGAATCCTAAACCTGCTTTCTATTAACCTTGCTTTCTGATTGAATAAAGCGGACACTGGGGAAAGACACAGCTCGTGTGTGCGCCTTCACAGCGTGTTCAGGACACGTGCTCTACTGCATATTTGAAGAGTTAGTAAACTTGAAGTTAGGTCAATGGAGATTGTCCAGTCTGACAAACAGGGGAAAAAAACGAAGACCTGTGGAACACCATTAAGCATACCAGCCTATGCATAATTTTCAGGAGCAGAAAAGAGAAAGGGCACAGAAAGAATATCTGAAAAAATAATGCCTGAAAATATCCTAAATTTGATGAAAAGCATGAATCTTCACATCCAGGAAGCTCAATGACTGCCAAGTAGAATAAACTAAAAACGATCCCCACTTAGACACATCATAAACTGTTGAAAGCCAAAGAAGACTCTTGAAAGCAGCAAGAGAGAAGTGACTCATCACAGATAAGCGATCGAAGTAAAAACACTTATTTCATATAAGAAACCAGGGAGGTCAAAAGGCAGTGGGGTGACCTTTTCCAAGTGCTGAGAGCAAACTTACCAAGAATTCTATATATGGCAAGACTGTCCCTCAAAAACAAAGGATAAATTGAGACAACCCCAGATAAATAAACTAGGAGAGCTTGTTACGAGAACCCTGCCCTCCAAAAAACTACTAAATGGGGTCTTCAGGCTGAAATAAAAGGACATGAGGCAGTAACTCAAATCCACATGAAGAAATAACACGTTAAAAAAAAAAAAAGGACCAGTAAAGGTACATAGGTAAATAAGGTAAATATAAAAACAAATATAAATGCATTTTTATAATTTTTTCCTGATTAAAAAAACCTGCATAAAAGTGATAACTATAAATCTATGTGGATAGGCACAGGATGCATAAAGATGGAATTTGTGACAACAGCATAAAGAAGGGGGTAGAGTTATATAAGAGCAGCATCTTTTAATACTATTGAAATTAACTTACTGGTTTTTAAAAAAATATTTTTACTTTTTATGTTTTTAATTTAAATTCTATTAACATATAGTATATTATTAGTTCCATATGTAGAATTCAGTGATTTATTTTAAAATATTTATTAGAGGGCGCCTGGGTGGCTCAGTCGGTTCAGCGACTGCCTTCGGCTCAGGTCATGATCCTGGAGTCCCGGGATCGAGTCCCGCGTCGGGCTCCCTGCTCGGCGGGGAGTCTGCTTCTCCCTCTGGCCCTCCCCCTTCTCATGCTCTATCTCATTCCCTCTCTCAAATAAATAAATAAAATCTTTAAAAAAAATTTGATACTAGAGTTAAAGAAGGACATTTTATAAGAAAAAAGGATCAATCCATCAAGAAGACATAACAATTATGAATATGTTTGCCTAACTGCCCCAAAATACATGAAGTAAAAGTTGACAGAATGGAAGGGAGAAATAGACAATTCAACAATAGCTGGAGACTTCAATACTTCCAGTGATGGATAGAACTAGAGAAAAGCTCAGCAAAGAAAGAGAAAACTTGAACAATGCTATAAGCCAGCTAGACTTGACAGACATCAGAGACACTCCACCCAGCAGAAGAGCACATATTCTTCTCAAGTGCACATGGAACATTTTCAGGATAGACCGTTATGTTAGAAAATAGAACATAATTATGTTCTCAGTACATTTTAAAGTAGTAATATCATACAAAGTATGTTTTTTGACAACAGAAATTAAATGAATTTAAATTAAATGAAATTAAAAATCAGTAACAAATTTGAGAAATTCATACATACATGAAAAATTAAATAACATATTCCTAAATAGCCAGTTAGTCAAAGAAGAAATCACAGGGAAAATTAGAACGTAATTTGAGGTGAATGAAAACAAAAGTGGAGCGTAACAAAACATACAGGATGCATCAAGAGCAGTGCTAAGATGGAAATTAAGAGCTTTATATTCAACTTCTAGGTATATACCCAAGAGAAAACATACATTCACACAAAAACTTGTTCATGAATGTTGATAGGTGCATCCTCCGTAATAACCAAGAAAGAGGAAACAACCCAAATGCCCATCAACTGACAAATGGGTAAACACAATGTGGCATGTCCAGACAGTGGAACGTATGTGGCCACGTAAGGAAGTTGTGACACATACAGCAATGCGGATGAACTTTGGAAGCATCCTGCTGAGTGAAAGAGGCCAGACACAGACAACCACGTATGTCTGAGGCTATCCATGTTAAAGTCTGAATCTGGAGTTAGAAAGATTACTGGTGTCGGGCTGGAAGGGCAGGAGGCGTAGGCACAGGCTGCTTTTGGGGGCAATGAAAGTGTTCTGAGGAACATGCACAGGCCTTGAAGACCAAGGTAAGGAGTTTGGGTCTATCCTGGGAGTGATGGGCATCCCCTGAAGAGAGACAAGATTGATGCCTAGGCCAGGGTTGCGTGAGTGTGCCAAGGGGGAAGGGGCATGCGGGTGGGAGGTGTTCAGGTTGGGATACTGTAACTTAGAGATGACCATCACACATCCAGGAGGGCAGAGGTGACACACTGGGGCCTCAGAAGGGGCCTGGGCGGGAGACAGGACCTGAGCGTGGGCATGAAGGCAGTTGGGGCTTGTGGGTGCAGTTTTTGGATAATGGTGTCCATGGCAGCCCCCAAGCTGCCGACATTGAAACAGGTGGAGTGGGGTGACTAGGCAAATGGTTTGAGAAGAGCGCAGGAGATCTGGGACACCCAGGTGAGTTGCCAGAGGCATCCCAAGGCCAAGTAGGGTTCTGCGGTGGGCCTGGTTGTGGGGAGGCTGCTGGGTGTTCTGAGGTGGGTGGAGGGTGGCCTGCCTGGCTGCGGGCTGCTACCCGTACCTTCCTGGGTTCACCCCACACCACAAGCCATAGGCAACTCTCCAGGGCCCTCTGGAAGCCGTCAGGTCTGCCCCCCAGAGCTTCCTCCTGGACCTCCAGAGGGTCTCCCTCTGCTGCTTTTTTCTTTCATTTAACAAATACAGATGAATATTCTACCAGGTATCTGACTCTGAGCTGGAAAAGTGGCAGGAAATTAAGACAGTGTCCCTGCCCCCCAAGGTGCTTCCGTTCTGGGTCGTGGGAAGCAAGCAACAAATGAGTACGCACTACTAAGTACTGATTATCAACACAACGGCCATATACTTCCAAGTTCATCTAGCTGGCAACTGAGTCCTCTTTTGAGCTGGGTTCAGCAATAGTCTCTTGTATTGGCTGGAACTAGATCTGAGTGTCAGAAAATAACTGCTTATATAAGGTACAAGTTTGTTTCCCTTTCCAGTAAATGAAGCCCAGTTGAGCAAACCAGGGCTGTGTGATGCCTTTGGATGGTCGGGGAGTCCCTGCTCCTCTCCCTCCATTCTCAACACAGGCTGTACCTCGTGTCTTAGACACACTTCACGTTCCGACCATCACTTCCACGTTCCCGTGGGCAGGAGGAAGGATAGGGCTCAGCGGGCCAGTCTCTCTGGGTGAGGTCTTTGCTTGGTATTCACCCTGAAGCTTCTGTTCTTATCCTATTGGCCAGGCCATAGTCACAAGGCCACACCTCCAGGCACAGGGATCAAAATGGGCTCTATGACTAAGGAGGACAGATACTGGGGACACATCCCAGACGTTGCCACACCATCAACACAAAGCATTTAGGACCTTATACTCTGTCCTTGTACATCCGACCGACATCTTTACAGCCTGACATTTCCTTGTTTTTTCTTTCTCTTTTAAGTAGGCTCCATGCCCAGTACGGAGCCCAACGCAAGGCTTGAACTCACCACCCTGAGATCAAGACCTGAGCTGAGACCCAGAGCCAGACACTTAACTGACTGAGCCATCAGGTGCCCTGAGCTTTCCTTGTTTTAAAACAATGTATTGTAGGGGCACCTGGGTGGCTCAGTCAGTTAGGCGCCTGCCTTCGGCTCGGGTCATGATCTCGGGGTCCTGGGCTCCCTGCTCAGCGGGGAGCCTGTTTCTCCCTCTCCTCCCTGCTCGTGCTTCTGTTGCTATCTCTGTCTCTCAAATAAATAAAAATAAAATCTTAAAAAAAAAGTATCGTACAAGTGACATTACTGAAAATCCCAACAGAAATCCCGCTTCCCTGACAGATCAACTTTGCCGTTCCCGTGGTTTCAAACCTTCTGTCTAGCCAGGGAGGCTTCTGCACAGGTGAGTTTAGAACACAACTGACGCAATCTTTTTGCTTTTGCTCCCCTACCTGTATGTTCCACGGTTTAATGTATTTTCAAGATGTGTGTTTTAAGGGACTAACTGCAGTTAAAAATGACTGACTGAGGGCAAAGCCTGGCTAAAAGGCCTAGAAGGGGTCTTGTACTGGATGCCAGCTCCCACACAGACAGCAGGGACTGAGAGCGGAGATGTCTGTGCGTCTTGGAGGACGGCAAGGCCGCGGAGAAGTGGGGCCTGGCCTATGAGAGGTCAGACTCAACAGCAGCCAGCCTGGGAGGGTGGCACCCTGGGATGCTGAGGCTCCTCTCTCTCTCCGGCCTCAGGAGCAGAACAGTTTGTTCAACGATAAAGAGGTCCCAGCTGGATCTTGGGAATAAGCAGGCCAGTGACAGGCTGCTAGTCACAGTGGGTCTCCAACACCCTTGCTGACCGCCATCCCCCACAATGCTGGACACAGAGGTGCCTATCAGCAGAGAACCAGCAGGGCTCTGTGGGCTAAAGCTTCCTCCACAGGACCTCCCAGGCCCCACCATTCTGGGTGTGGCACTGAAGGGACACTGGTCCCGAGTCCACTCTCCGCACACATGGTGCCACTCTGCTGCCCCATCAGACCCTTCCGGGGAGCTGATGTGGGCCTGGCATTGCTGAAAAGCTATTTTGCTTTTTTCTTCCCTCCAGTATGGATGCTAACCTCCCGACTCCTTTCAGGGGACCCGTGGCCTGCTGCCCCAAGGTGGTGCTGGGTGGGCTGTTCCACCTTGGCCCTGCCTCTTAGGGGTGGCTGGCCTGGGCTGTCTCAGCTCCAAGGAAGCTGGCCAGGTGCCCCTCCCAGACCCACACCGAGGTTCTGGCCTCGGGAGTGCCACTCCCCACGCCCCAGGCCTTCTCTGCAGGGCTCCAGCTCCAGCCCCTTTGCCCCTTCAACTCCAGCGCTGCAGGCAGAGCAGTGTGGTCTCTGGGACCTCAGATCCTGTCAGGCCCCAAGCCCTGCTCCCACTATGTTTCCTCTTACCCAGCACCCTGCCTCCTACCGTGATGCTCCTGGGGCGGGGGCCAGGGCAGGGTCTGCGTGTACCGTTTTCAGGTCCCAAGCCCAGTGTCCACCCGAGGCTCTCCTCCGAGGCTCATGTGGCTGGGCCCTCACTACTGCCAGCAGTAAGCGGACCAGAACAGTGCCCTCCAGAAAGGAAGTGTGTGGGAAGGCCAGGCCTTCAGGCAGAGCTTCTCGCCCACGGGCCTGGGGGCCCCACACGGACAGCAGACAGTTGGCCAACAGCCCAAAGGGCAGCTGAAACAAAACTCCTGTTTATTTCCCAAGAAGGCGACAACACGGGGGTGGAGTCCCCACCCCCGTCCCAGCTGCAGGGCCGTGGGCCACACATCACTTCCAGAAGAGCACATTCCAGAAGAGCAGCCAGCAGGGGTAGAGGCCCAGAGCCAGCAGCGGAAAAAGCAGGGCGCCATAGGTGTGGTGCTCCAGCACACCCTGGGCCAGCGCAGCCAGGAAGAGCTGCCAGCCCTCGGCCAGCGACACTGGAGACTCCTGCAGCTCCCGCCACACGAACAAGCCACCCAGCAGTGTGGCGGCTGGGCTCGTCAGCACCAGCAGGGCGGCATACAGTGGCCTGGGTGGAGAGGCAGGGTCAGGTCAGGCTCTGGGGGGGGCACAGACACCGAGTGGGCGAGGGGGTCCCATGTGAGGGCACAGCGGTAAGGAGCACAGGCCCCGGGCTTGGGGCGCGGCACGACACGTACCGGGGCCCACAGGGCTTGGTGAGAGCAGCAGCAGGCACCATGGTGGCAGCCAACAGGAAGCCCAGCGAGAAGTTGGTGAGGGCGATGCAGGCCAACTGCAGCACCAGGTATATGAGGGCCACCAGCTTCAGCGCCATCCAGCCTCTGTCTGGGGCCTGTGTGCTCACCACCCTGCAAGGCGAGGGGCTCAGACGCACTGCGTGTGCGGCCAGGGTGCCCCCGCCCTCCCCCACCCAGCCTAGCTCCTCACCGCTGGGTGCTGTGTGGAAGGGCCAGGCCCGCTGCGTAGATGGCCAGCAGGGTCAGCACCACGGCCTCGGCCTCGGCCACGGGGAAGTGCTGGGTAGCCACGTGTTGGCCCAGCACGGGCAGGATGTAAAGGGCCAGGCCCATGGCCTGTGAGATCAGCAAGGGCGCCACAAGCGAGGCCAGTCCCACGGTCTGCAAGGGCACACGGACACTGGGGAGATGGGCCCTGGGGCCCATGGAGCCCCAAGGATCCTCACCACCACCCCACCGATCAAGACTGCATTGCAGCAGTAACGATCACCCGGAACCCTGGAGGCCCACCCCAAAAGCAGGAGTGGGGGGACCATCACCTGTGTTGGCAGGAGGGGAGGACTAGGTCCAGAGACCCCCCCAGGCTCCTCGGGCCCCACTCCGGCCTCATGCAACTGCATCCACAGTTCCAGAGCGTGGTCTAGTCAAGGACCCTGACGATGGGTGTGATGGACTCCGCCCGGTAGGGGACCCGGGGTCACTCCCACTCCCCTACTTCAAGGACGGAGGATCCTCCCCAGCCTAGAGCGGAGAGGACCTGAGGCTGGCCACAAGTGGACGTGGGGTTCAGAGGATATCTTGAGACCAAGCACCAAGAGCAAAAAGCCGACAGCAGGCATGTAGAGGCCGATGGAGACGAAGCGGGAAAGCGCGGGAAGCAGGTAGAAGAAGAAGGACTGGTGCAGGCGCTCCAGGAGATGATTGAGCTTGCGGAACACGCCCTCCAGGGCTCTGCCAGGGTGGGGCGGCGTCATGGCCAGCCAGGCCCCCCAGAACCCCCCCAACTCCACCCCAAGCATGGAAGGGGGGCCCAGAAGCCACTTACTTGCCCACTGCCACCAAGTCATACTTATATTGTCGGAAGCTGTTAATGCCACGGATGGTCAGGGCCTCCACACGGTAGCGCAGGAAGAGGCCGTGAGGGCCATGGGGGCGGCCAGAGGCCTGCTGCAGAACCATGAGCAGCAGGGTCTGCAGACCCTGCAGCGGCCCATCTATGGATGTCCAGTCCTGGGGCTGCAGCTTAGAGGATTTGGGGGCACGGTCAGAGAAGCCCCACACAGGGCCCTCACTTCCCAGGCAGGCTGCCCCCCTTACCTTGCCCTGGAGAGTACACAGCAGACCCCCTTTCTGACAGAAAGTCTGGAAGAGGTTGAGCAGATCGAGGTTGGGCAGCTGCCCGTTGAGCCCCTCCACAGCCACATCAAGGCTCGTGACCACGTCACTGCTCAGCTCCAAGGCCACAGCCGCCTGGATGGCCCCAGCCCGGCCCTGCAGAGGGGATGACTGCATGCCTGTAGGAGCAGGTGAAGGAAATGCCTATGGGGGGCCGACGAGGACAGTGATCCTGACGGAGCGGCCGGGCCAAGAGCACCTACCGGTGATGTTGACATCGTGGTAGGCCTCCAGCCAAGCCTCAGTGCCCAGAAGGTCTTGTTCTGTCACCAAGAAGATGATGTCTTTGGCCCAGTAAATCTGCCCTGGAGGCCAGAAGCTAGGTCAGCAGGGCCTGGGACAGTGGCCAAACCCTCCCTTGCCAGCAGCAGCCCCTGAACCTCACCCCGAAAGTGGGCAGCAAGTGCTAGCAGCAGCCCCACAGCCTGGCTGTTGGTGGAGTCAGGGCCGCAGGGTACGGTGAGCACCAGGGACTCGGTGCTGGCAGCGCGCGGGGCCCGCAGGATGCCATACACGTTGGTACCTGACACCATCTGTATGCAGTATCGGGGAAGCGTCAGCACCACCCCACCCCGGACGGCTGAAGCCTCTCCCTCGTCGCCCTAGACTGCCCACCAGGGATTCCCCCGGCCCCAGGACATGCCACCACCGGGCTTCCCGGCCCCAAGCCGCCCTCTCGAGGTGCTTTTTGGTCCCACGCACACCCCCTCCCCCACAATACATAGCGCTCGTGGGTCTCATCAGGAAAGGGCAGTTTCCGGGAGAAACTCTGCGTGTAGACCTCCAGCCCCACTGACCGCATCGTCCGCTCCAGCCACGCCACTGGCAAAGCCCTAGACACACAACGAGAGGCGCTAGGCAGAGCTCCCTGGCTTTGAGCACCACTATCTCCCCGTACCCGCAGCTCTCCGCTCACCCCGACTTCCTGCGGTGGGCAGCAAAGTCTCGGGCAAAGCTCCGGGCACGGTCTCCGCCCGCAAACTGCTCCTCCACCATGGTGGAGCCCATGGCGTTCTCCGACATGTAAGTGCGTTGGGTCAACGGCGGGAAAGCCAGAGCAAGGAACCAGGCGATGCCTGCCACGTAGCTGAGCACGCTGCAGGGAAAGGGTGGAGGGGGCCCCGGGGCATTAGCGCGCCGGGGACTCCCGCCCGTGGCCTCCACCTCTGCACCGGGGATGGCGGGGGCGTGTGTGAGGGACCTGGCCCCGGAGTCCCGGCACTCGGGACGTCGGACGGGAGGGCCGAGCCCCAGACCCGATGCCCCGCGCGAGGCCCACGGGCGCTGCGCTACTGGCGCGAGCAGCCCGCGGAGGGTGGGGGCGTCGGCTGCTCGAGCCCCGGGTCCTCCGGGTCCCGCCTCCCTGGGCCCAGCGCTCACCAGAGCGGCGCGTTCAGACGCAGCACGAGGCGCGCGAGGGCGCGCCGGCGCACCGGGTCCGACAGGAGGCCCATGGCGAGGAGGGGCGGCTCCGCGGCCGCGCTCGCCCTGCAGCTCCGGCCGCGGGACCGACGCCGCGCTCCCGCCGGACCCGAGGCTCCGCGCCCGCTCGCACTTCCGGTCCCGAAGGCCTTCGCGCCGCCGCGCATGCCCGGAGCAGAGGTGGTACGGGGCGGGACTGCGTTGGGAGCGCCTCCGCCCGCCCCGAGCGGCCTCCGCGAGGACCCGTCTCCAGGACGACCGGCCGGCAGGTGTACTGCGCCCGAGGAAAGCAGCGAAGACGACCAGCTGCCGCCGCGGCTGGCTGGGGAGAGCGAGAATCGGGGAGGGGGCGAACAAGACAGAGGGGCGGGACACTGGGGAGCAGGACGCCCGCGGACGTTGAGCGCGCGGCTACCGGCAGTGACAGGTCTGGGCGCCAGGGGCGGGCGGGGAAGGAAGAGGGCTCCCGGGGACTGAGACCGAGGCACTGGCAGGGTCACTTCTATGGATGTTGGTCAAAAGTGGCAGTGAGTGCAGAAGGGAAATCACAGCGTGCACCCAGCCGCAAAGCTGTCAGGGTCAGAGAACCACCGGGATTATGGTGCGGATGGTCGTCTTGGCCAAAAGGGTTTCAAAAGAGGTGAGGTATGTGGAGTAGGAAGTGGGGAGCGCTCCTATTCAGATCAGGAGGTGCCTGGGTGGGGGCTGCAAGGGCCAGTGTTCGGGGTGCAGGCAGGCGGCCCGTGCGCGTCTGTGGGTATGTGGTGAAGACCCCTTCCCAAGCCCCTCCCCCAGGTGAGAACATGTTATCTGTTGTACTTTTGGAGTCTGAGGTTAAGTAGGCCCAAAGGGCTCCTAGGGTGGAAGGGGCCATTCAGTTCAAGCCAGAGTCCAGAGGATGTGGGGCACGGCCCCCACATCTCCATGGTGGGCCCCAGATATGCCGTGTGAAAGTAAGACCCGTCCAGCGGCTTGGCTCATCATGCCAGGCCACGCCTCACTGCTCGGCTGCCTTGAACCCTGCCTGGCACAACTGCTCTGTTCATCCAGGGACACACTCCCCTCACCTTCTTCAGGCTGTGAGCCTTGAGGCTGCAAGAGGTATGTATGTCACGTGTGGGGGATGCGGACGGTCCCTAGTCACCCCCAGGAGCAAGCACCAGGCCAGGCTCTGAGGGTGTGGAAGTGCTGTGGGGAAATCAAAATACAGCAGATTGTGTGTGGGTTTTATTCTGGGCATGGGGAGGCCAGATGCTCAGTCCCCTAGCAAAATAGAGGCCTCACGTACATGCTGCCGAACCACACGGTCCAGCAGTGTGTGCACGTCCCGGGCAGCCCGGGCAGCGGCCTCTAGCACCTGCTCCAGGTGGTCCTCATGTAGCCTGGCATCCATTTCAAGCAGTG